TGCTGCCCCCCCTGCTTGTGCTCTCTCTCTCTCTGACAAATAAATAAATAAATAAAATCTTAAAAAAAAAAAAAAAAGAAGAGGCAGAAGACGGGGCTGGAAAAGTTGGTGGGGACCCGTTTGGGCCAGATGACCCATGCCATCCTAGAGAAGCAACCAAAGATTAGAAGCAGGGAAATGACCTAGCAAGATCTGTGTTTTTGGTGACAGCAGGGATAACGAGGGCAGAAACTGGAGCTAGGAAAATGAGTCAGTTGGTGTCTACAGCATTTCGAGTTCCTCAAACTAACCGTATGCTTACAGAGGGAACAATATTATAACTGATTGATCCGTGAGAGGCAGGTCGGTGTTCGCAGTACGGGACACGTGCCCCTGGTAGCATGTGTGAGACATGAGATGGTTTTAAATGATGCATGGACGCAGCAGTAAATAGCTCTGGCTCAGAGAGAAAGTTGCTCCTTTCCATTTCTCTTTCCATCCTTTTAATTAGCTCAAGGACAAGTTCTCAGTCTGGAGGTAGTCTGTCTTTAACACCTTTCCAACACCGTTTTCCCAAGTTCCACCTTCTGCAAATAACAGTAGCTAGCTAGATTAATAGCACTATTTCTTTCTGTAGATTATTTTTGCTGTTCCTTTCATTTGTTCCAATCAGTATTGGATTTTTTCCATGGTGATAAAAAGCTTTATTATTGTTGTTGTTGTTGTTGTTATATAAGTACATTTACATTTTCAAATGTGAATCAATATAAATTAAAAATGTTAAAGAATCCTGCAGATGGTACATATGCTGCTGGGGCAAAAGTTATGAAGGTGGTTTATAAACGAGTCACTTTGAGACACACAGGTGGAATGGGAAGCAGGCAGGATTTGTAGTCCGTCTAACTTGGGTACAAGTCCCACTTTTAACTTATTAGCTCAACGGCCCGTGAATAATTCATAAACCTTTTGGGCCTCAGTGTTCCCCTACAAATTAAGGAGATGATACACCTCCTCAGAAGGTGGTGACTGGTTAAATGAGATAAAATGAAAGAAGCTTCTAGGTGCCTCCTACATAGTAGGCACCTGGATTTCACAGCGCATATCTCTGAAGAAGGAAACCTCAGTTTTTGGCAACACCCAACAGGGACTTAAATCCAGCACCCACTGAGTATCTGTGCTTGATAAAAATTACCTAAGAGCATTCACCTGCTTAGTATCTGTGACCTGTGGGCAGCAGTGGTTCTTAGGCTGAATCCAGTTGTTTTGTGAGAAACTATTTAGGAAAAGCATTTAACTCAAGAGTGGCCAGCCCTGGCATCATGGCCAGGCCCCCAGGGCCTTGTCCTGGCTTTCTCTAAGATCTCAGAATACTACATCCTGCACAGATCAGTTGGGAGTGGATCTGGAACATTCAGATATATATGTAAGTGAAGATACATAGAAAATACCTCCCATTTTAGTTATCTATCGCTGTGTAATAAACCACCCCCAAACTTCATAGTGCTTAACAACTACCATTTTGTTATCATCTCTCACAATTCTGTGGGTTGACTGGGTTACACTGGGTAGTTCTGCTCTATGTGACATCAACTAGAGCTGTCATCACCTGGAGGGTCAATTAGTCTACCAGCATCCAAGATGGAGCACACATGTGGTTATAGTCTGACTGGGTGTTAGCCAGAAATCACAGGTGCTGTGTCCCTAGCGTCTTGGTTTTCTTCCATGACGCCTCTCCATGAAGTTTGGGCTTCTCACAGAATGGCGGCAAGATTCTAAGAGGAAGGAAACAGAAACTGCCAGTCTCTTAAGGCCTGGGCTCAGATGTCCCAGCATATCACGTCCATTGCATCCAAGCAATCGCAGGAGTAGTTCGGAGTCAAGGGTAGGGGAAAAACTCCACCTCATAATGGTGAAGTAATTTTCATACAGGGAGGAAAAGGATTGATGGCAGCCATCTTAGGAGACTATGAACCACACCTCCTACAGCTTTCACTTTTTGCAAAGGCTTGTCACTCTAAAATTATGTGTGTATTTCAACCCAGCAAATATTTATCTAGGAATTTATCCTAAGGAAGTGATCGTGGATGATTCAACACAAGGCTGTTCACTGGGAAAAGAAAATGAAACTACCTACTATTCAACAGTACTGGACCAGTTAAATCCAATGGCGTCTGAGGATAGTGTTTTGAATGTCTATGACCTGGAACCAGACAGAGTTAAGCTTAAATTCCAAATCCATCACTTAATATTTGGATGATGTTAAGAGAATTACTTAATTAACCTCTCTCTGTAAGTCTCAGTTTCTTTATCTGTAGGAGGTAAAATGTGGATTGTTGTGACGATCCATGGAAAAGGTTCAACACATAGTGAATGATCACTAAATGTGAATTGCCATTATTATTGGCAATCATTAGTGCTATGGTTTTAGGACAAATATTTCTAATTTCCCCATTTCCAGGCACGTAACACTTTCATGGCTCCATGTGGGTAACTTTGTGACTAGTTCCGACCAATGAATAGTAAGCAAAAGTGATATATTACTTCCTGGCTGAACATTTAATTGTCTGGACAAGATGTTTTTTCTCTTGCTCAACAATTGGCAATGTCCGACGAATGTGTTGACTGCTTTGTTAGCCTGAGTCCCTGAGTGACTATGATGGTCAGAAGGCTCCTTGCTAACCCTTCATGCACATGTAGCAAAAGCAAGAAATAAAGTGGTTTTAAGTTACTGAGGTCAGGGGGTATTTGTTACTGCAGCGTATTTTAGCCCATTCACACTAGTACAATGTTGTTTTTGTTGTTGTTCAATCTTACAATGAACGATATTATTAATGGTCCCATTAAAGGTGGTGTATAATAAAGGTATTTAGATTCTTAATGACAAGAAAAAATAGTCATTCTATAAGGGCCACCTTCACTATGGAGGGTTCACTATACACAGGGCCACTTAAAATATGTTTGTACTTCCCACCAGATTCCCTTCATTACTCATCCAAATATCAGCTCAGCAAAGAGGCCATTTCTTTCTATCCTTTTACCAAGTTTTATTGATGTTCATGCCATTTATCATTACCTGATATATTGCATATTTACTTATTATCTAGTTCTAAAATAAGCTGTGTATCCCAGGCCCTAAAACCATGTATGAAACAAAGTAGACAATTTTTTTTTTTTATTTAATGCAGACATACATATATAGCAAAATGTGCACTGTGCTTTCTTCTGGGTGGTAAAATTGAGTGCTATCTATTTATTGAATATATTTATTTTTGCTTATGCATTCTTTCAACAAATACGCTTTGTTTATGTGAATTTTCATTTTCAATGATTAATATGTATTATTTTCACATGAGAAATGATAATAATAGGTAACATTTACTGAGCACTCACCGTGGGTCAAGCACTAAAGCTCAATATTTTACATGAATTATCTCAACCTCCCTGGGAGATAGGTCTAATCATTATCCCCATTTAGTATTCATAGATAAGGGTACTAACATTTAGAGAAGTTAAATGAGCACTGGGGCTGGAATTCAAACCCCAGATCTCTATGCTGTAGCCAAATAACTAACCAGACAATGTATATATCAGGATGCATACATAAGCTCATTATAAAGAGTAAATAGGCACATTCACACATGTTGTCTCATTGGAGGCTCACGAAAATCTTATGAAGGTAAGCCAGCAGGCATTATTATCCCCACTTCAAAGACCAAGTCTTGGGCCCATATGACTGCATCTTGCCATCTGCCTCCTTCCACATCTTTGCAACAGGTGCTTCCTCTCCCCTCCTCATAAGCCTTTTCCCCCACAATACTTGGCTATGCACATCTTTCCTTTGCATACCAACTGAAGACACAGCTCTGTTTCTCTGTGGCAGGCTTGAGACTTTGTTGCTTATAAGCAAATTTGCATGGGAATTAATATAAG